GGAAGGAAGGAAGGAAAAAAGAAAGAAAGTTTGTCAGCCCCAAACTGTAAATATATGGGGGAATCTCATTATGCCATCTACTACAAATTTTAGGGAATATTACCCCAGCTGACAGACTTCATACCTCTAAGCTTAGGCAACAACAACTAGAGCCAAGAGAGCTACCCAGGATGGTGTATAGTGGCTAGACTGACCGTCTCTATAGCTCAGGAAGTCTGGGTTCAAATCCCCACTCAGCTATAGAAACTTAATTGGGGCGTTGAACTGGCAAAACCACTCCTTAAATGACACACTTACCCTGAAAGCCCCGTTAGGGTCATTCCTCGTTATAAACCAGTTTCAACTTGACAGCGTATCTAGCAGGAAAACTGGCAGAAGACACAGACAAGCGGGGAGTCATCACAGGACCGGCTCTATTAGGTAGAGTGTGACGGTTGCCTCAGGGGTCAGATTTGCATACCAGGAAGTGAGAGTAGGTGACAAATTGTTTATTTTGCTGTTCATACATCTTTAATGCATTAAAACATGTACAGGACTGCAAAGAAAGGGGGAGAAAGGTTTGTGGTAATGTTCTGCCTTATGGATCAAACTAATATAATTTTTGCTCCTTGGTGTTTGCTTTTAGACCTGAGTAGTATCATGGTTTGCCGACAAAGGTCCGCAGAGTCAAAGCTATGGTTTTTCCAGTAGCGATGTATGGAAGTGAGAGCTGGACCATAAAGAAGGCTGACCGCTGAAAAATTGATGCTTTTGAATTGTGGTACTGGAGGAGGCTCTTGAGAGTCCCCTGGACTGCAAGGAGAACAAACCTATCCATTCTGAAGGAAATCAACCCAGAGTGCTCACTGGAAGGACAGATCCTGAAGCTGAGGCTGCAATACTTTGGGCATCTCATGAGAAGAGAAGACTCCTTGGAAAAGACCCTGATATGAAGAAAGTGTGAAGGGAAGAGGAGAAGGGGACGACAGAGGACAAGATGGTTGGACAGGGTCATCGAAGCGACCAACATGACTTTGACCCAACTCCGGGAAGCAGTAGAAGACAGGAGGCCCTGGCATGCTCTGGTCCATGGGGTCACGAAGAGTCGGACATGACTAAACGACTAAACAGCAACAGTATCATGTTGGTTGGATGGATAGCTCAGTGAGTTAGGTAAGAAGTTCAGGGTTTGATTCCTCACTGTGCATCTCAGAAAAAGCCAGCCTGTGTAGCCTTGGGCAAGCTGCACAATCCCAGGACTCCCCAGGAAGAAGGGGAAAGGGAATTGTCTCTGAGTATTCTCTATCTAGAAAATCTAGAAAGGGCAGCCATAACTCAGAATCATTATTAATGTGATGTTGAATCCTTAAATTTGTAATTTTGTTGTGAATCATTCCCTTTATGACTCACGTTTGGAAACTTGATCAAAAGATGACACAGAGAAAGATATTAATAAGTGTGTGACGTCAAGCCGATTGCTACTGATTATGTACCTCTGTCCTTCCTTCATGCTTTCTTTGAAAGCTTGCACCATAAACTGAAGGTCCTTCATTGTTTCTGTTGTGGAGCCCAGTTGGCAAAACCTTCTCCTGCCTTAAGGTAATGCACAGCAACTACTTAATGAAATTGCAGAAGAACAAAGCCTTTTCAAATAGGTCTTATCTTGAGTGTCAATAATGTAGCTTAAGAAAGATCAGAAAAGCAAGAACAAACTCCAAAGGTTTGATAAGATCTAGAAGTGTTGGGAGGAGAGCTGGGAGGAGATGCAAACAGATCATGGACACTTTTTCCATCTCAAATATGAGTGAACCCGTTTTAATTCCATTTCACAGGTGAAAGGACGGAGATTCATTAATGCTCCTCGCATACCTGCTGGTTATTATAAGAATAATTGTTCAATCCCTTTGAAGGACATCCAGATGGGAGCAACTGGGAGCAGATGCAAGGAATCTGAATGCATATCTGTGTGACTCCCTTGGCTAAAAGCCCAAAGGAAAAACTCACACCAGCATCATAAACTATCCTCCTGTCTGCAAGCTCAGTCTCCAAGCTCAGATTTCCATTCTGAGCAGCACTTGCAAAGCACGTGTCATCTCAGGTGGAGGAATGTGATGATGATGATGAAAGCGCTCCTGTCGGCCCTAATCAGACACAGCCAAAGCCCCTTATCGGGCTTTCCATTCTGAGCAGCACTTGCAAAGCACATGTGTCATCTCAGGTGGAGGAATGTGGTGATGATGAAAGCGCTCTTGTCGGCCCTGATCAGACACAGCCAAAGCCCCTTATCGGGTAAAGAGGTCTTCTTGTCTCCTGTTTCGGTCCATTCCTTCTACATAGTTGAAAGACGTGCGGAGGATCTGTTGCAGAGCTTTGAATATGGCTTTTTAAAATTCCTCTCCCTGCAAAGCAGAGGTACGGGAATTCACAGAGCAGAATAGCTTCAAATTCCCCACCCCCTTTTCTCATTAACTGGCACTTACTGTCTCAGTAACTCACTCTGAGACATTTGTAGAAGAAAAAAATAAAAAAGAGAAAGAACACTCAGGAGAGAGGCAGGACTGTCTTTGAATTTCCAAAGCTGGAAGAAATGATTGGTTAGGTCTGGATAGATGGACAATCGACAAAGCCCAGAACAGCAAATGATTGGTTAGGTCTGGATAGATGGACAATCGACCCAGCCCAGAACAGCCCCTCCTACTCCCTCAAACTACAGACAGCATTGTTGTTTAGTCATTAAGTCATGTCTGACTCTTCATGACTCCATGAACTAGAGTATGCCAGGCCCTCCTGTCTTACACTGCCTCCTGGCGTTGGGCAAATTCCGCCCTCCTGTCTTCCACTGCCTCCTGGCGTTGGGGCAAATTCCTGTTGGTCGCTTGGGTGACACTGTCCAGCCATCTCATCCTCTGTCGTCCCCTTCTCCTCTTGCCTTCACACTTTTCCAACATCAGGGTCTTTTCCAGGGAGTCTTCTCTCTTTCCAGGGAGTTCAGGGTCTTTTCCAGGGAGCCTTCTCTCTTTCCAGGGAGTCTTCCCATCCATTTTAGTTCACTGACGCCCAGGATGTCAATGTTTATTCTTGCCATCTCCTGTTTGACCGCATCCAGCTTACCAAGGTTCATAGATTTTACATTCCAGGTTCCAATACAGTATTTTTCTTTAAACCATCGGACTTTCCTTTCACTTCCAGGCGCGTCCGCAGCTGAGTGTCCTTTCGGCTTTGGCCCAACCACTTCATTAGCTCTGGAGCTACTTGTATTTCTCCTCCGCTCTTCCTCAGTAGCATGTTGGACACCTTCTGACCTGAGGGACTCATCTTCCAGCATCATATCTTTTAGCCTTTTGTTTCTGTCCATGGGTTTTTCTTGGCAAAGATACTGGAGCAGCTTGACAGTACCTGCTCCAGGTGGATGGTGTTTAGTCAGAACTCTCCACTATGACCTGTCCGTCTTGGCTGGCCCTGCACGGCACAGCCCGTAGCTTCTCTGAATTAATCAAACTCCTTTGCCACGACAAGGCAGCAATCCGTGAAGGGGACAGACGGTATACACAGGGTTGCAAATAAAGCTCTAACATCTTGGGGGGCAGGCACTGAGAGCAACAGTGGCTGTCTACCTCCAGCTGTTTCTTCTGGTCCTTTTAGCCATTCTTCTGTGGGGCTGTGTAGGCCATGCAGTTTGTCCTACATCCTGAAAACTGGGCTGCACAGCTGCTCTCAAGGGCTGGAACAATGTGTGCCATTGTGAAAAAGAAGGTTCAGCTGGATAGCAGGATACTTTCTGTATATGAGATACTTTTTGTACAGATCACCTTGCAAGAAGACATGTGCCAACAAAATTGGGGGAGAGAGAAAAAGAATTTGCAAAGAATTGCATAGCTTGGGAGTTGTTTGGATGGTATTTTTACTTCTTGGTAAAAGAGACAGAGAGAGTTGTGGATAAGGCCAGACTGAGGTAGTCAAATCAGGAAAGCACCATTACTATGGATGCTGCTCTTCCTTTCATTGAGAAAGCCATGCAGATGACCAAGAATTCTGAGGACGGGGCAATTCTAAACATTGTATTTTAATGTACAAAGATAGACACACTGTGTTGTAGCACTACACCCAATGCACAGGAATTATGCTAATATATATACCTATGCAGCTTTGTCCCTCCCGGAAAAATCCTGCAAACATTGTTGTAACAGACCTAACAGAACGTGTAGGAAAGTACCGGTTATTCTAAAGCAGGCATGTGGGTCTGATTCAGATTAAGGTTCCATCTGGGGAGCAGAGTTTTAAATATCCCCTCCAGCCCCTGTCTCTCAATATTAACTGTTCCCCCATGAAGAGTAAGGAAGACATCATTTTCCCATTGACTGAATCTGTCCATGCTTTCCCTGTTTCTCCTTCATCCCAGGCAAAAGCTCCTGGGAATGGTTTATAAATGAATAGGGGAAACCAGTTTACCTGCCTAGCTTTGAGCCCCCTCATTTGGTAAAAGTGATTCATGCTCTAATTACCTACTTGGTAGGCGGCTTCTGCTTTCTGCTTCGGACCATCTCTTGAAAAAGGACTCAGGAACTACCGCTAGTGAAAAATGGAGGAGCCAGCCTGCTAGCTGGCCTGTGATTTAGACACCATATAGCACCTCTCTTGATAGAATTTGTTTTAAAAAATTTATTTTACTTTGGTACTTTTTAAACATTTTATCTTGTTACTCACTGCTGTGGCGTTTAAACTGCTTCGTGGCAAGCTGGCATTTATTGTTTTATAATCATCATCATCATATTAGAACAGCAGAGCTGGAAGGGACCCTCTGGGATTATCCAGTCCAACCCTTGTCGAGGATGATCCCCAGTGGGGAATCGAACTTCCAACCTCGGGCTCCGCATCCAGAGACCTAAACCACAGAGTCTTGAGTCCCAAGCCCCGAATCCAAGTCTTGAGTTGTTCATCCCATCTCCAACCCCCTAACCCCCAAGGCTCAGGACTCCAGACTTGGCACTACCGACTCAGAACCAATGACTCGGACTGTGCATATGCCGTCCATCCGATAGGCATGCACAGAGAAAGCGGACCTGGGAGGGAAGCACATGCGTATGCACAGAGACAATGAGCGGACTTCCCTTTCCAGAACCGGCTCCTGCTTGTGCACATGCGCTGGCTGACCTCTGAGTGGGTGGAGGCAGCAGCCGGCTGTTGGAAGAGAAGCCCGGCCTGCTGCCTCTGAGGATGGCAGTGGAGTCAGGAGCAGGGGGGAAAGGCCCATCCCTAATAGAGATTCAAACGTAACTCGGAAAAATGGTTCAGAGTCGCGAATCAAATCCAAAAAACCCACGTCAAGTTCGTGTCAGCTCATCGGTATGACTTAGGTCGGACCCAACAGCGAGTCGCAAGTCCAGATCCCTGATTTCTGCCTAGTCCTCAGGTAGTGGCGAAATAGATATGCCAAC